CCTGGAGAGCTATTGCTCTCTGTCAGAGAAGACAGCTCTAGGATTGATAGACCAATGATCTGATTCAGTATAAGGGAGCTTCCTGTGTTCTGATCATAGAACCATAGAATCATAGAAGCATAGAGTTGGAAGAGATCACAAGAGCCATCCAGTCCAACCCCCTGCCATGCAGGAACTCAAAATCAAAGCATCCCCAACATGATGTATTCAGAAAATGATGTATTGTTTATATGTCCTGCCTTTTCTGCATGCCTCTCCCCTGCATATTAGGAAGCAGTGCAATAATACAAAGTGAAGGCTCATCACAGCAAAGAAGACTGGTGTATGTGCAAGTGTTCCAAAGGCTGGATCTAAATAAGGCAATTTGTCCTAAAACACATCTATTTAGCAGCAGTAAAGAACCATGAAGCTGCATGTCATATAATCAGTGGCCAGCCAAATAACGATTTCATAGATGGAAGGCTGAACTTTTGCCAGATGATTTCAGTGCATAACAAATGGGCAATCATGTACATAAAAAGCATTAAATTCCTCTTCCACCACAAAGACAGTGACCCCATTGTTCACACTCAAAGGGAGCAGTAAACCAGAGGCTGAGCTTGCATTTGACTGGGATCTTCCACAGGCCATCAAATAAATACAGTTTTTATAACCTGTTAGAACTAATCTGTTTGATTTGGTATGAAAATACAGCCAACAAATATCCAGGACACTAGATAAGATGTGTCTTTATATGAATAAGGATCCTCACACCATCTCTCTGCCCCCTCCCTCCACTTCTGTCTGCCTGACAATGCTTCATGAAGTAATTAATTTTTGATTATTGAAAGTGAAAACACTGAATACAATCATAATGAAAATGTGTCACCATAATGCAATTGTTATCTCCATTGGTGATATATGTATGTCAGTACACCATGCATGAACTATTCTATGTTAAGAATGTTTAATGAATTCACATTTTGTAAAAAATAAACTGACCTGATCTCCAACTTCCAAATATAATTTGGAATATAATTATCCTTTGGATTTCCTCATGTTTTTCCAAGAAAAAATTGAGATCAATCCCACTCCTATGAAAATATATTCTAAGTGTCTATTTTGGGATAAACTGAGTTTAGAAACACATTTTTTAAAAAGTACATTGTTATCTCTCTCTCTTTCTCTTTCTCTCTCTGTTATATCAAGTCAACTCTGACATATGACAATCCTATCATGGTTTTCTTGGGAAGATTTATTCAGAATAAATTTGTCATTAACTTCCTCTTAGACTGAGAGATTGTGAATTGCCCAAGATAATTCAGTGGGCAGTGGCTAAAAAGGGACTTGAACCCTTATCTCCCAGAGTCTCAGTCCACTCAACCACTCAGTCCACTCAACCACTATCATTTTGTGTGTATGTGTGTACAAACACAGAAGAAAGTATGAATGAACACATGTAAAACTGACTGAGCTTTCTGTCTCTGTGCTCTGTAATTTCATTGATTACTGCAACCTTTGTTCTCAATGATAATTGATTAGTCCTGATTTTGTGTTTGGTTTCTTTCTTGAATGTTATTTTAGTGACAGACAATTGCACGAAACTAGCTAACTGTCATCATTCTGTATTTGCTCAGTTACTGAAAAGTTATCTGCATCCTATAAACAATTGTAAAAAATAATTATTTATTACAGTTTTGTCATAATCCTTCTCCAAGCAACTCAGAACAGTATATACTAAAACAATGATGGGAGATAAATTAGGTGGACTACTGATTATACACCAAGTATTCTGCTCATAGTATGATACTCCTTAGAAATACTAAATAAAAAATTTAAAAGTATATAAAAAAAATTTCTGAGTGTTTCCAAAGCTCAGTGTGACAAGCCCCTCCTTTTATTCTGAGGCTGGACTATGGGAAGGGTCGTGGAGTTTGAGCATGTTCCCATACTCCAGTGTGACAGTCTTGATGAATTTGATTTAACAGGTCTCCCAAAAGATGTACAATGATGCTGCCCCTGAGACTAATCACAAAGCTTCTTTGGGTGGCCTGTTTGGGTTATTCCATTTTATTTTGATAAACACCTATTAAAATAGATTAGGATGGATTGGCCAAAGGTCATCCAGTAAGCCTAATAACCAAGTGGATGTCTGAATCCGGATTTTTTTATTCGAGTCTCTGCCACCCCACTGATTTAAGGTATCCCAGATGCTGATGGCCATTCTCATGCTCAGGTAGTCCTAAATATTACAAGCATGGTTGAAATTTTAAATTGAAATTAAATTCAGAATCACTGTAGTATTATGGAAGTAAGGTAACACCATCACCAATCATCATAATTGAGAGGCCACATGATACTCATGAGTAATAGGAAATTATTACAGTAGAATTAATGGCATCACTACAGTTGGCATCACCCAGTGCAGTGACTCGTAGTTTCAAACCCCCCCCCCCATTGATTAACAGCAGTAAAGAACCATGAAGCTGCACATCATATAATCAGTGGCCAGCCAAATAACGATTTCATAAATGGAAGGCTGAACATTTGCCAGTTGATTAAGGACAATAGAAAGGGCTTTTTTGCATATGTCCATAGCAAAAGAAAGAAGAAAGAAATGGTGGGGCCACTGCACAGAGAAGATGGAGAAATTCTAACAGGGGACAGAGAAAAGGCAGAACTACTCAACACCTCCTTTGCCTTAGTCTTCTCACAAAAGAAAAAGGCTGCTCAACCTGAGGAAAATGGAGCAGAGGACACAGTAGGGGAAATGCA